TTCTTTCTTTCTTTCTTTCTTTCTTTCTTTCTTTCTTTCTGCTTTTAGGAATTCAAGGCTCTATTCTACATTTTTCTCACATTGACCAGGGTCCGTTTACCGTGGCCCTGATTAGAATGGCTGGCAGTGTGGGGGGGGGGGGGCAGTATCTAGTTTTTCTGGTCTCAAAATAGATGAGGCCATGGCCTGTGCAGAGGATTTGTTTGGATTTTGTTCTTTGAGTCTTCGATTTTCTTCTCCTTTGCTCTATATTCTGTGCGTGTTTTTAATAACATATATATGTATGCGTTCCTGCTGGAAGTGGATCTGGTGGCTACCCCTTTCACCAAGGCTATAAGAACCACTCTGTGTTTGTGCCCAAATTCTTTCTCTTTTTAACAGTTTATTGGCATAGAATTCACATATCATACACCTCACTAGTTCAATCATATTTAAAAGAGTGTGCAATCATCTCTGTAGTCAATTTGAGAACACTTTCCTCATTCCGGTTATCAGCTCCCCATTTCCTCCCATACTCCCCAAGAAGCCCTCAGTGCGGTCACTGTGTGAGGGGCATTCCACGGCAGGAGGAGTACTGGCAGTGACATGGTTAAACCAAAAGGTTGTTAATCAAAAGGTTGGTTGTGCATACCTCCCGGTTACTCAAAGGAAGAAAGTTGTGGCATTTTGCTTTCCTAAGCATTCACAGCCTTGTAAACTCTCTTCTACTCTGTCCCATAGCAATCACTATGCGAGCCGACTGGAGAGCAATATGTTTTTGGTTTTTCTCCATGGTGTGGCCAAGTTCAGCATTTCTCAAGCTGAGAGAACTACAGAAAGCATGCAAGTCTCAAGTTCCTATGTTAAATGATTCTATGAGCAACGTATTGAATGGTGCAGGAAGCATATAGAAGAAATACCCAGTTACTGTACCCACAGGGCTGGTTGCTGTTCAACCCTTTTAGGAGGGAGCATATGATCAAGAACTGGTGATTCTGAAGGTAGGAGCCCAAGCTGCACGGCAGGCATCAGTTAAAAAAGAAAAGGTCTCAAGGAATCAATAAAATATCAAATGTGATGTTTCAACAAGCTGATGCAGCACTGGAAACAGTGTTAATATCCCACGTAAATAAACTTTTGCTGAAGATAATTAAAAAACAGTTGCATCAACGTGGGGCTGCCAGAAATTCAAGCCACATTCAGAAGAGGATTTGGAAGGAGGGATACTGTGGCTGATATACGATGGATTTTTGTGCTCACATTCTTGAGGAGTTATATGATAGCTATTTTCTGTAGGCCAGAGACTTGAGCCAACTCACAGGTGCCCAGAGCCCCTTGAAAGAAAGGGAGATCACGTTCTATGGAGGAATAACCTTGCTGCACAGCCAGAACTCCACACTACGATTCTCTCTAGTCATCCCCACACACTTCCATCGAGTCAATGCCGACTCCAGGGCCGGGAAGAACTGCTCATGTGAACTCCCGAGACTAACTGTTCACTGGAGTAGAAAGCCCCATCTTTCTCCCCAGGAGCCGCTGGTGGTTTCAAACTGCCAAGGACTGCAGCCCACCATGTAGCCACTGTGTCACTCAAGGACCTGCAATCCCTTAGGGTAACTATACATTGGGGCAAGAGAAATCATTGGATTACCTTCAGGCATTATTGGGCACTGATTGAGAGCAGCCACACACTAGAGAACCCAAAGTGTGGTCCCTCCTAAGATCAGAGAGTATTGGGAGTGGTCAGATAATCCATGTCGTTTTGGATCACATCCCTCTTGGGACCCAGTGGGACCAGCACATCCCCAAACACACCACGTGGTTATGTCACTGGAATGCATACTCAGAATCAGTGTTCTCAGCGATTGGCAGAAAGTGGTAGGCGTGGACTTGTTGAGTCACATAGATTGCATGTTCTAGTCAATGCTGCCAGCTTCCCCAAGTAGTTACTCCAGACAGAGCCCATGAAGAGGCACTTCATTGCAGCCCTTCTGAGGGCTCCTACTTTTAATCGGTGTTTCTGAGTCTAACAGCACGAGCAACTTTCTTCGTCTTGGCAACAGGGCTGTCATCTTTGGTGAAGTGCCTACTCTTTTGTCCATTCTTCTACTTGTCTTTTTCATTGACACGGAGATGCTCACATATTCTGGATACAATTTTTACGTGATAGACACGTTACAGGCATAGGCTACTTTGTAAATTACCTTTTCCATTTTTCGATTTTGGTTTTCTGATCTTGTGGACACTCCATGAAGGCAGCCCCAATTTAGTACTATTGTCCCTTATTGCGAATGGCTCTTTTGAGAAACCTTTGCCCACCATCCGAGCCATGAGATATTCTAAGTTTTCATCTGCTTTTTTGTTTTACCTCTCCTATTTAGATCTATCTCCCATTTGTAGCTGCTTTTGTGTAAGGGGTGATAGAAAGTTCACAATGTATTCTTCCCCATATACTGACTCGGCAACATCACTTGAAACCATGCCCCTCCCCCAGCTTTTGTTTTTTTTGCCTACTGCATTGAAATTTTTAAAAGTCATAAACCAGGATCTGAATGTGGATGGGCATTTCTACTGAGTTTCATTGATCATCTTGTCAAGCTTGCACAAATACCACACAGTCTTAATTTAGCCTTAGACCAGTGGTTCGCAACCTTTCTCATGCCGCGACCCTTTAATACAGTTCCTCATGTTGTGGTGACCCCACCCCCTCAACCATAAAATTATTTTCATTGCTACTTCATCACTGTCACTTTGCTACTATTATGCCTGACATCTGGTAGTGTAAGTCTTTCATTTCTGTTCTTCTTTCAGATTGCATAAGTAATTCTTGGCCCTATGCATTTCCAAATAAATTAGAGAATTGGTTTGTCAATTTCCAGTCAAAAATCCTGTATTTTGATGGGAATTGCACTGAATATATTGGTCAATTTAAGAACAGACACATTAAAGCAGTGAGCCCTTCAATCAATGAACATGTTATATCCTCTATTTATTTGAGCCTTCTTTTATTGTTGTATTAGTAGTTATTTTATTAGTTTTCAGTGTAAAGTTCTGGCACATTATGTTTACCATATATTGTAAGATATATTTTGCTAACTTTGTGGCTTAGACCTTCTACACCAGCATGGCCATCAGATACATAATGCAAACCACACGTGAAACTCTCACACTTTCTAGGCTAAAAAGTGAATAAAACAGGCGAGATTAATTTCAATAATATGAGGGGCGTCTAAAAGTTCATGGAAAAGCTCCTCTGTCTTTTTTTAAAGCCCCCTTGAATATTTTATATAACTTAGTATCTTCAAAATATTATGATTTCAATATTTAAGATAGATTCATTAACAAGATTTTACTTTTTTTTTCTTGTGCTACATTTTCAAAACCCCACAGGTAGCTTACATTTAAAGCACATCTCGGTGCAGATTCACTACATTTCAAGAGCTGCCTCACCAAACACGGCTAGGGGCTACTAGGGTGGATGCAGTGATTTATAGCCTTCCTTAATTTCTGGTTCACATGCCTTGCATACACTGTGTGAACGTTTTTCAGTTGTAAGTTGGTTTCTATTTCTCCTGGCATCTTCCATAGTTTCAGCTTTGTCTAGATGGTTTCACTTACTGAGATCTGTTACTAGGTGCA